CTTCTCTGTCTCGCGGCGCCTTGCTCCGCGAGGCTGAAGTTCTCCCCGGTGTTCTCCTCTCCCGCTCGTACTTCTGGCACCCCCGCTGCTGCGTAACCCAGCGCGTGTTCCTTACCTGCCTTTATCCCCTCCTCCGCAGCGAGCGATGAAGCCACTCGAGATGCAGAGGTGGCCCCTCGTGAGCACATGGGCCCCGGCGCCTCCCTCCAGCCCCGCGAGGAGAAGCAGGAGCCGGTGGTGGTGCGGCCCTACCCACAGGTGCAGATGCTGACACAGCACCACCCCGTGCAGTCCGGGGCCCCGGTGACAGTGACGGCCTCCCCGGCACATCTGACGCCCGCTGTGCCACTGTCCTTCTCAGAGGGACTCATGAAGGTGAGGAGGAGGAGTCTTAACATTCAAAGGAGAAAAATGCATTTTAAATAGAAAAAACAGGCAGGTCTCTTTCTTTTGAGTAACTGTAATGTATCTGTAGTTGTATTTAACCTATGCTAGTACTGTTTAGTGTTGAGCAAGCATAAAACACATTAATAAATTAACCTGCTTTTGTGTCTGTGCTCCTGCTAGCTGCACACCTATTTGTGTGTGTAACTGCTCCTTATGGCACACAGGGGGCTTCACAATATCATGGTGTTCTTTTGGGTCTCTTGTTGTTTGTCACCCAAGCAAAAAGTGATCTCGGTCAGTTTTCTGGAACCTTCTCTGACAGAGTAAATGAGCCTATTAAACTGTTCCCCTGTCTGTAGGGGAATACTGTAGCCCCAACAGATACTGCTTGTGACTCATACTGTATGTTAGAAGATGCATGTTTCCAGCCAAAAGTGCCCTTTCTGTCTCAACGAAAAAGAATAGCTGTTGATGGCCAACATCCTTCCTTCCCAGAGTTCTCCTTGGGCAGGCTGCCTTTCTGTCCAAGCCATGATTCCCAGAAATGGTTTTAGCTTCAGCATTGAGCTGTGACTTGGAGTTGCCAGCATCTTGCTGTGTTTCTTGCAGCCACCGCTGAAGCCCACTATGCCCAGCCGGCCCATTGCTCCTGCTCCACCCTCCACTCTCTCAGCTCCCACGAAGGTTCCTGGGCAGGTCACCGTCACCATGGAAAGCAGCATCCCGCAGGCTCCAACAATTCCAGTGGCAACTATCAGTGGACAACAGGTTTGTGTTTCCTATTCCACTTTGCTGCTAAGTTAGGTCAACACTTATATTCATGCAGTGCAGGAGGGATCGCAGAGAGAGGGTAAGAAGGGAACTGTTCAGTGGCCATGAGCAGGTGGGATGATTTTATTTGGAGCTTTAAACCTTAGTCTCTAGGAGCAGAGCAGATAATGCTGGCAAATGATTATGTTTTGCATTGTGTTCTTATTAAACTGCTAATTGGAGAATTCGGCAAGGAGAAGCACATAGATAATGCATTAGTTCTTGGTGTAACCTTGACTGCAAAGTCAAATCCCACTCCTTGTAATCTGAGCTAGTTTGCCAAAACACTCATCGCTGAAGCTTCTGCAGTTCCAGGGCTTCCATGTAAAGTGTCTTTAGGTGGATCTGAGTCAGCCTGGTTAAGCATGGGCGTCTGCTTTGGTGGATTTTGTTATCTTAATGAATATTCTGACAAGCCTCAGCACTACCATAAAATGGGGTTTCCTTGTTGCAATGCTCGCCAAGTTTTCCCTATTCTCCTGACTCTGCTGAAGAGATGATGGGAACCTTAGCAAGAAGTGACTAGTGGCAGAAGGGCCATGCTCTGGCTGCTGCCTGGTTGCCAGTGGCCAGCCAGAGAAGCAGAGCTCCAAAAACCAGATAAATGTTTCCTTGCTGCACGAGCTGTCTGCAGGCTGCCTGGCTTCACTCCGGTTCTCTGCTCACTTGCAGTGCACGTGACCTGGGCGCACTGTGTTTTTCTAGAAAAGCTCTTTTCTGTGCTTGGGACTTATGTGGCGGATACTGTTAGAGTAGCTGTCAATTCTTGACAGCTTAGCTCAGTTTATTTGGGTTTCTTTTATGTTTAACTCTGCAGGGGCACCCCAGTAACCTGCACCACATCATGGCCACCAACGTGCAGATGTCCATCATCAGAAGCAGCGCCCCTGGGCCTTCCTTGCACATTGGAGCTTCTCACCTGCCCCGAGGTAAGGTCGGATCTGGCAGTGCTGCTGCTGACTTCTGCTCATAACCTCTTGGGGAAGGTGCATCCAGCCTCTGTCTCTAGAGATCACTACTAGCACGAGTGTTTTTTGGCTCTTAAGGCTGCTGGCTTACGTAGGACTTCAGGTGACTGCTGCCCTGTTAAGTAACCTGCTACCTTCAGTCATTCAAGGCAGGGCTCTGTGACAGTGATTGCGATGCTGACAGATACCAGCATATCTCTTACTCTAGTTTTGTGCAGGTAAAACAGTAAACATTTTCAGGAAAAATACATATATGTTTCCCAATATAGACTGGCCTGCCATGCAAAATGCAGCGTGAGCTCTCGGCAGGGGTGTTGCCAGCCTGCGGTGGTGCTTCCCGAGCAGTTGGAGTTGTGCAGCCTGTTCCCGTAACCACCCCTTACGGGATCATGCCCACATCGTTGTGCACATGTGTGTCATCCTGTGTGCTCGAGATAAATGCTAATGCTAACCACCTAGACTTATCTCCCAGGATGCTGGTTGCTATGACTTACAAAACAGGAGATCAGTCCCTTAGAAGAGGCATGGGCTCAGTTATGATCATGAGAGAACAAATAACAGACAAATTAACCAAAGCTCTATATTGCTGCACACTTAAAAGTTGTGATTTGTGTGTGAATGGTTTTGTTTCCTGTTTATTGCACACACACTTTTTTTTCTTCTTCTGAACTCTGGCAGGTATAGATAGGTTGTTGGTATCAGGTCAGTCACTTTTACATTAGATTGTTCTCTTGTATATAATAGTGTTATGTTATAAATCTGATTTTCTTCTATTCAAGCTATGAAAGTGAGTAGGAATAAATCAAACAAAGAGGATCAATAAAAACTATTCATTAAAATAGTATCTACCCTCTCCCAAATGCCTTAATGCTTTTGGGAGTCTTAGCTATTCTTGTTGCAAGCCCGACTTGTCATAGACTGTCACTTGAACTAAAACGTGCATGAAATGAAGCAAACATAAGAATCTGTCTCTGTGGTCACAGTTGAGCCCTTTGGCTGCCTGGTACTTTAACACCCGTGGCTTGTTTTGCAGGTGCAGCAGCTGCTGCGATGATGTCCAGCTCTAAAGTGACCACAGTCCTCAGACCAGCGTCCCAGTTGCCAAATGCAGCTGCGGCTCAGCCGGCAGTTCAGCACATCATCCATCAACCGATCCAGGCAGGTAGCAGCTAAGCGCCTCCGCAGGAACGCTGACCGTCTGCTCCCAAATTTCCCTGACACCAACTTGAAATATGTAGCCTGTAGCCCTGTATTTACTACTTTTCCTAAGTTTAGAAGGTTTAGTTTAAATATACTTTAAGGTTTAAAGCCTTGGGAGGTCTGATATGATACACTGGTGTTGATTTACTCTTAAATTTATATATTGATTTAGAATCAGTAGTAATAAATATCTATTTTAATGTTTTTATATATTAATGTAGATACATACATAAGCAAAAGATTGTAGAGATCTTTTAGCTACAATAGTGTCAGCATTGAAAGTTAGCATAAAGGGTTGAACCTCTTTACTTGACATTTACAGTTAAGATCTCAGTGTCATCAGCTTTAATTTTTCTAGGTATGTGTAGTTCAGGGTTTCTTTTTCTTCTGCAGGGAACAGTCCCTTGGTTTTTGTCACAAACATCTGTAGAGTATTGCATCTTTGAATCATTTTAATGCAGATCTGTTCTTACTAACTCTTTTGGTCACTGATTCCCTCAACCTGGTGTGAAAACTGGGACAGATCTGCTTTGGAGCTTACAGATCAACATAGAAAGACCAAACACTTTCAGAATGCCGAAGCTTTATGATGAGATTTAGGAAAAGTAGTTTTAGCAAAGCAGCTCTCAGTTATTTGGAGTGCAGACCCCTGAATGGCTCTTCTTGCTTGGTTTTATAGTCTCGTCCTCCCGTGACAACGTCAAGCACTATTCCTCCCGCTGTGGTGGCAACTGTCTCTGCCACAAGAGCTCAGTCTCCAGTTATAACGACAACAGCAGCACATGCTACAGAGTCAACCCTCAGGTAAAGAAGCTCCAGACACTTTCTGTGGTATCTACAATCCTCTGACTTTACAGACTGTGAGAAAGGAGCACATGTGTGAGTCATCCCAAGTTGATACTGCTCTAGATGTGGGATGATCTAATACAGAAATAGGAATGCTTGCAAGATGCTTCCAGTTATGGGATGAATGAAAACAGCTGTAAACATGAACTGTTGCTCTCTGTTCTGGGAAAGAAAAAGTGTATTGAGTCAGTCTGTTATCTACTGCTCCTTAGAAAGCAGTTCTGCTCTGGGGACTTGTGGATAACGCACCCCATCTTTTTGTAGGACAAAATGAAGAATTACATGTGAATTGGAAATATTTAGAGCATCCCTAATAGAAAAAAAATTCTAATCAACTGATACTAGACTTTTTATAAGCATGTCCTAGATGGATACTTCCAGAAGAGAGATGGGGATAAGGGAACAGTGTGGTTCAGTTTCCCTTGCAGCTTTAACACATAGTTGATGGTATTGGTGCTGTCAAAGAGGCCTGATATGTGTCTCTGCATTTTATCTTTCAGAGTTAGTACCATGGCATTATTTTCCTGATGGTTATTTTTCTTTTTCCAGTCGCCCCACTCTGTCTATCCAGCAGCACCCGCCATCGGCAGCTATTAGTATCCAGCGGCCTGCGCAGCCGAGGGACGCGGCGACTCGCATCACGCTGCCGTCTCACCCAGCCATAGGAACGCAGAAACCGCAGCTCCACACCATGGCCCAGGTAAGCTGCGACAGGAGAACCCCCTCGTGCTTTGGCCAGGGCTCTCCTGCACCTGCTCCTTGATGGCTAACATTATATTTGGGAAAAGCATCAATACTTGGTTAGAAACGCATGTTCCTTGGAGTCAGTGACACATGATTCCATACTAAAAAAAAATATGAAAAAGTACTTGTCTAGACATGACCTTTTCTTTTTATAGAAAACCATTTTCAGCACTGGTACTCCAGTGGCAGCAGCAACAGTGGCACCCATTTTGGCAACAAATACCATTGCTTCAGCAACCACAGCTGGTGAGTTCATAATGCAACTGTGGGAAAAGTCTTCCCTTGGTGGAACCCCATCCATTTTGAGCAAACAGTTATGGTAAAGACTATATTGGGAAGTGCATGAACAGACTTAAGGAGGTAAATCTGTGGGTTCTTCAGCGGGTTGTCTGGATTGGGGTGGGGGTGTGTGGTTTTGTTTTGTTTTGTTTTTCCTTTATTTGGATATACATAAGCTAGTGTAGTATAGCTCCATAGAAAGATCTAATTTGCTCTTTTTTCCTGCCCTGTTTCTAGGTTCTGTTTCTCACACCCAAGCGCCTACAAGTACCATTGTCACCATGACGATGCCCTCCCATTCTTCCCATGCTACTGCTGTCACAACCTCAAACATCCCAGTTGGTGAGTGGCTTCACTTTCAAGAAGAATATGTGTAACTGAAACTTCAGTTTTCTGTACGCACTAGCAGCGTTTGTGAGTATTTGGAAATTAAAAAGCGGGAAGAAAATCTGTTCAGGCTGTGACTCTTTTCAACACGAGGAAAAAATAAGTATTATGGGATGTAATCGGTAATCAAATGGTTCATTAACCTGTTCAATAGCATTTTTGGACAAACTTGGGCCTTTTGGCATTTCCAAAACTGCAGCTTCTATTTTAGGAGTTGTAGCTGCTTGGTGATGTGAATATCACTCCTTCAGTTGATTTTGTCAACTTCTTCCTTAGCCTCTAGAGTTATTTCCTATAGCCTGATTAAGCTTGCTCAGCATGTTCAGTTGAAGGTAGAAATCTAAGCTGTAATGGTGGGAAATTTGTCTAGATACAGAACCTGCCCAAAATAGGTTTCCAGCAGAACTGCTGCTGTTCAGATTAAACCTCCTTTTGCTCATCTCCTCTGATCTCCTACCCACCTCCTTATGGTCTTGTTTTGTTAAAATCTTTGATAATCGTCCTCTGCCATAAATTTTCAAGAAGTGGAGCAACAACTCTACATTAGTGTTTCCTGGCAGTCTCTCTCCTGACCGTAGCTGTACACCAGGTGTATATCTGCTCTTCATCTCATTTTCCTTGGTTCTGCTTTTAAAACTTATATAGGTTCCTGACAGCAGAAAGGATTGGGCTGATCATAAGAGTGTAGCTTTATTTGAGTGAGAATAACTTAGTCTGTGAGGAAATACAACCTACATGTACTGTCCTTGAATTCTGGCACAAACTAAGGGAAAAAAAGATAAGATAGATGTGCTTTGTTTGCCTGAATCATTCTTCCTTATAAAATGCCTCATCATTGCATTGAAAAAAAATCTGATTTCTAGTCAGGAGAATTGCAGTCCTGCCTTTGCAGGGTCTACTGGCTTTTTCTTTAACTGACTCCTTTTCTTCTTTTTTTTTTTTGGTCTCCATGCAGCTAAAGTGGTTCCCCAGCAAATCACACATACTTCTCCCCGGATCCAGTCTGATTATACTGCAGAAAGGAGCAATCTGATCCCCATCCCTGGTCACCGGGCATCTCCCAACCCAGTGGCAATGGAAACCAGGAATGACAACAGGTGAGGAAATAACACCTCCTTGAATGACAGGGAGTGCAAGCAGGATATTTCATGAAAGAATGTCTGTTAAAAAATTGGTGGAGTTTGGTACTTCTGGATGAGCTATAGTTGAGGTGCTTCCTAATTTCAAGCATATGGTTATATAAATGAGGGCTTGGCCCAAAGGCAGAGGCTGAAGATGAACAGCTGAAGCAGTGTGTGTGATACGTGCCGTTTCACCCGTAGGCAGTCGGTGCCTGTCCAGTTCCAGTATTTCCTCCCGACCTACCCACCTTCTGCCTATCCGCTGACTGCGCACACCTACACGCCCATCACCAGCTCCGTGTCCACCATCCGCCAGTACCCAGGTGAGGTCTCCACTCGGGTGTTGGCGCAGGCTGACACTTTGTTTGCTTGTTCGCTTCCCCCATCACTACAGTTAATGCATGGGCCAAGAGGTTTCTAGGCTTGATTCTGGCAATCCAGGTTTTTCATCTATGGTTGGCTGAAGGGAATACACACGAGCAGGGTGTTTTGAACTGCTTCAGAGACCTACGAACATGGTTACTAACTCATCTCTTGGGAGGTGTGCATTGATTGTCCAAGGGTTTGCACCTCTGTGAAAAGTCTTGGATTCTACAAATCAAAAATAGTGAAACTGCTCCAAACCAGCCATCTCAATGTGTCTTCACTTCCTAGGGTTCTGGCAAGTCCATTTTCCTCTCTTTGCACATGGGTGTATAATTTGATGGGGGAAAAAAACAGTCTCTGAAGCTACTTATTGTGGTAGTAACTGGTGAGTTCTGCAAGCAGAAAATTGGAGGGACAGTTCTCAGGAGGGACATGCAACTTTGCTGAGGACATCCACTTTAGGGCTTACATTAAAAATATAGAGGAGGCTTTAAAAAAGATCACTGTGATAAGAGATGTTAATGTGGAATTCTGAGGAAGTTCGGAACTGGCTTTGGCTAACCAAATTTGTGCTTGTACAGTCTCCAAAATACTGTTGGCTAGAAATTCTGCAACAAGAACATGTTACCTGGGGTGTTTGGTAACAGAATTTATGTGCCATACTTCTCCATAGAAGCCATTTTGCAGAATCTGGTACTGGATTTAAGTTTTTTGATAGCAATTTGCGAGTGGCTTGTCAGCCCAAGTTCTTGATGGAAATCCTGTGATAATGACAAAAGCAGCTTGCTGCATGACGAGAGGTTCCCCGTTGCTAGTGAGCAAGGCCATTGTTAGCAAGCTAGCACCTGCTTCTGTGTTTGGCTGCGGAAACTGTGACAATGTTCTGTAAAAACTGGGAATCTGGAGATCTAGAAGCTGCAGACATTCTGCCCACATCGTTAAATGCTGCCCATAGCAGCTGCTTTGGAGATATGCATTATGCTTTACAGCAGATCTGTGAGGACAGAATCTTAGCTGTAAATACAAATAGACTAATTGAGCTCCTAAAACAGGTGTTTCACAGGGAATGTTGTTCTGTCACAAAAGGATCTTAAGTTCAGTTTAGCAGTGGGATTCAGCCTACTAATGTCAATTCCATTCTCCATCATATAAAATAGTACTTGGGTTCATAACATTTTCCTCCAGTTGCACTAAGGAAATTTTTTCATGATTATGTGGCTGGGTGAAGGGCAGAAATAAGACAGCCCCAACTTAAGGTGCTTATGCTGGTGTCTTTTCTTTCTTCATCTGCTTTTGTGTAGTCACAGGTGTTTTAGTTGATTTAAATGACCATCTCTGTGAAAGACCGTCTTCTGAAAAATGTCTTAACTCACTGAATTTATTTTAAAGCAACAAAAATACCAACTGTTGGCACTTACAAGTTTTGTAAGGTAATAATAGAGTGAGCAAAAGCAGTGCACTGATTTCCAAGACTGGAAGTTGGTGACAGAAATGTAACTTGACCCTAATTTTAAAAGTAGAATAAACTTTGCTCTCTTATAGCAATATCAAATAGAAAATGGAATTAAACAGTAATATCTAATTCTTCTGGCAGACAAACTTGCCTCTCTGCTGTCATATTGGAATTTGTTATTATCCCAAGCGGGCCGAAAAAATCTTTTAAAAAGGAAAATTATTTTCAGCCTAGTGAGAGGTGCTTGGGGAACCAGGACAAACCTCTGGGCAGGAGTGACAGGATCTCCATGTTGCTGTTCCCAGTTTCAGCCCAGGCGCCCAACTCAGCAATCACGGCTCAGACTGGCGTAGGAGTGGCCTCCACTGTCCACCTCAACCCCATGCAGCTGATGACTGTAGATGCGTCCCATGCCCGGCACATCCAGGGGATCCAGCCGGCGCCTATCGGTGCGCAAGGGATCCAGCCAGCACCTATCAGCGCGCAGGGAATCCAGCCGGCTCCCATTGGGACCCAGGGCCTGCACCCCACTGCGCCCATCGGCACGCAGGGTCTCCAGCCAGCTCCCATCAGCGCTCAGCAGCCCCAGGCGGACACCAAGACTTCAGGTAACTGTCACAGCAGGGCCCTGCCTCAGCCTGCGCAAAGCAGCCAAGCCTCAGACTGTCCTCCAAGGTGGTTTGGCCCTAAGTTCTTTTATCCTGCAAGTAAAGATCTTATTGTGGGCCAGTAGTGGATGTCAAATACACTTCTACGAGTACTCTCCTAGTAAAGTTTTTTGCCTCTGTAAATGTTACTTCTTAATTTTAAGTGTGTGGGGTGGGGCGGTGTATATGGTAACACGAGAAGGGCTACTTCACCTGAAAAGCCTGACCAGCCAGGTTTAATAATTCTGCTTAGTAAACCCTTGTGGGAAGTGTTAGTTAAAAGTAGGACACATGCTGTGACCTGTTCCAGCTGCACCTCAGATCACAGCAGCAATCAAACCATCTGGCCAGGTACCTTCAGCAGTTGGAAACCTGAACTAGGGCTTTGCTAGAAACCCTCATGCATGAAAAATGATTGGTCTAGTGAAATCCCCTCGTCTTACTGAAGAAAGAGGATATGGCTGCAAAGAATATGCTGCTAGCAAAGCTGGCAGATATGTTGTGTGGGTCCTTCCTGACTGTCTAAAATATTCTGCATCAGCTGGTAGCCAAGTTGGCCAAATGGCCTTGTAAGCACTCGTCAGCTGTTTACATGCTGACGGGCTGCCTAGTGGCACGTATCGCCATGTAGACTCTACTAGGAGGGCTTTCCCCCAAAGCTATTGTGTTGGTGACCTCCCTAGTGATGTCTGCCTTTCCTGTTTCACCTGGAAAAGTGTTTCCCTACCCATGGTCATGAGGCAGGGAGTAGTTTGTGTCTATCCTACAGAAGGTTCAGTTATCAAATTGCTCTGTAGCAAAGGTATTGCTTACAAAGTGGTTTGAAAGCTACAGTTAAAGACCGAGGGACTCGGGGAGCATGGAAAGCATGTGTTCTGCAAACACCTGCTTGGTCACTGCATTTCTTTAAATAACTGCTGCTTTTTCTTCTCTGTACCTGCTCCCTTTTCCCTCTCCTGTGTGCGTGTCCCCCCTTCCCAGCAGTAGTCTTGGCGGATGGAGCCACCATTGTAGCCAATCCTATTAGCAACACGTTCAATACGGCTTCTGCAGCGACTACAGTTGTGCAAACCCACAGCCAGAGTGCCAGTGCCAGCGCGCCAGCCCAGGGCTCTTCCCCACGCCCCAGCATCCTCCGGAAGAAACCCACCACGGACGGGTGAGTGGGGCTGACAAGGACATGTAAATGACACTTCTGTGCGGGCTACTCCAGCTAGAGGGAACGGTTTTACGTCAGCAGAGAGGTGAAAAGCTCTAGAAGACTTTTCAGTCAGCTGTGATTGTGAGTGACCTGCTGATCCGTGAAACACTTCCTTTCTAGCAGCGCAGGTTTTGGTTTCCTCTTGTTGTCAGTAATAGAATGCGGAAGACAAATTGCTCTTCCTCACTCTTGGAAGTGACCTTTTGAGGGGAAAATGGATTTAGACTTACTTTCTTAGTTTAATAAAAACAAAGAGCTCATGATCTACTGAAGTTAGAATTCCATGCTTTTTTTTTCTTTTTTTTTTTTGAATGATCTTTGAAGTAGTAGAAAGGATGGGACTAATCAGACTGTGCCGTCTGATTACGAAAATGGAAGGGAGTAACTTAAACTCTGAAAATATTTTCATGTCATCTGTCTAATTTTGAATGAAGCCTGAGGCCTGAGTAAAGAAACAAGAGAAAGCATTAGAAAGACCAAAAAGACTTTTTTTTAAAAAAAAAGTGGAAACTTTTTTTTTTTGTTTGTTTGTTTGTTAGGGCAGGGAAACTACAGGCCTTAAGTCAATCATAAACCAAAGAAATGGAGGTCAATCATGAATGATTTTTTTTTCCATTTCAAAGATTATTATGGACAGTAATTTCACTTCAAACCCCGAAGGAAACTTGAGTCGTCTCCACTATACTTTCTGTACGGAGCACTGTGCTGTGCTTAACATCCACATTCAGTGCCTGCAGTCTTGGAGCTGGGCTTTTACACAGTCTAGTCCAAGTAAAGGAAGCAGTTGTCCATCTGGGCGCTGGGTAGTTGCAGGTGGCTTGCTAGGATGTGTGCTAGCAGGAGAGGGCAACTGCACAGCCCCAGCTCCCTTCATCTGCCATTGGAGCCTGGCAGTCCCAAGGAGTCTTAGCTGGCAAGATGAAGCTCAAAGCAGCATTCTTGGAGAAGCCCTGAAACTGGGGGAGACTAAGAGCACTTCAATTGTATTTTCTTTAATTATATTTTCTTTTAAAGATAAAGTATTAATGTTTTATTCAAAAAGGCAAAATGAAACCCTCTATCGCAGTTGCTCTGAGACTAGAGTGGAGAGATACAAATATACTTCCTATTCCGGTTTTGGCATGAGAAAGTAGATTTTTTTGTTCTTGGTGGTATTTCTCTCTCTATTGGGCGGGTAGAGGGAGAGCGAGAGGGGTGTACAGACTGAATGTTCCTCTTGCAGGCTGACAGTCCGAAAAAGCTTAATTCCCCCTCAGCCTGCTGAAATAACTAGCACACGTGTGGAAAGCACTATGCGAAGTACATCTGGATCCCCGAGGCCTGCTGGGTAAGGCTTTAAGAAACAAACAACTGCATAATAATGTTCTTGCTGTACTCTTGATTAGCATTCTTTGGCTTTTAAAATGGCCTCCTTCTGGAAAATTTAAGGATCTCTCTTGACTTGTCGGTGTGACAGCTTTGAAGAGACTTGGCTGGTGCTGCTATTGTGAGGCTGAGGCAATAGCCTTTAAAAGGAGTGGTTGTCAGCCTTCAAAAGAGAAAACAAGTGACATCCTGTTAAAGGATGTGCCTCAAACTAACTCTGTTACTTGAAAACTAATGCTGAAGAAAGTTCAAATGCAGCTTTTACCCTGCTTTAGTTTTTGTATTGTTTTAAAAGTATTAGCTATAGTGGGAGCTGTTGTAAAACAGGATGGGGTCGAAAATCTTTGGGTAAAAATTCCTCTTGTTTACATTGTAATCATGAATGACAGCTTTCCAGAGCAGCTTTCCAGAGCATTCTGAATTTATTGGGAGTTAGTCATGAGATTTGCTTGCTAGAGCAAGTGGAAGATAATAGCATCTCTAACAGATAAAAGGGAATTGAAAGAGAAGGAAAAAAAGTGAAACTAAGACTGAAATGATACAGTCTCTTTGTTCTGTTCCACACATCACTGGTCTAGGTGTTACTTCCTGGGGAAGAAAAAATGGCTAGTCTGAATTCAGCATGTCTCCTTAATTTTCTTTGTGGTAGCAAGTCATGACAGCAGTACTCTAAGGCAGTGATCCTTAGTGTTGTTGCCTCTCTTGTCACAGTGCCAAGCCAAAACCTGAAATCCACGTGTCCATGGGCGCTCCCGTGACGGTGTCTATGGAGGCAGTGTCGAACCAGGGCGGTGAGCAGCCCACCATGGCAGTGCC